CACTTCAGGGAGTCCAGGTGGGTGGCTTTTGAATTGTTCTACCTCATTGCCTCCTGGGTTTGCCTTTGGTGGGCTTATAGTCTGAGGTTGCATTTTGAAACCATATCTTTTCACTTTTTAAAATTTTAATTTCTATGTTGAAGCTTGTAAATTGTTTATGTTAGGCATCTTTATTTCTAGTATCAAGAACACTTAAGAAATGATTACTTCTTAGAGATGTCTTCCAGTTGTAGCTGGATTTTGGGTTTTGATTCTGTTACAAGATCTTACCTCTTCAATTTTTGGGGGATGAGAAGTTGCTGCCTGTTTGGCTTAGTCTCTGGTTCTTTGACACTGGGCTATAGTATTGTTTAGGACCCTCAGGCAATCTCAGTCTTGGCATACAAAAAGAACAACTGATTAGAACAATTATGTCACTACTACTGCTAAATAGTAGACTCAGTAATAACAACTGCATCAAACACACCCCAGAAAATGGCAAACTGGTAGTTATTAATTTATCACCTATATCTGTGTGAACAGAACCTGTAGTTATATAACCAAATCTAAAACAAACCAGAAAATTGTGTATAGTAAATATTCCCTCAATACGGTGATTTTACCCCCAGGAGAGAAAAGTTAAAAGGGGCTAGTGGAAAAAGTAGGGAAATAGAAGAGAGAAAGGAGTTAGAAGCAAGACTTGAGGACCATTCAACCTTATACAAGCTTTGGGAACTGGTAAAGAAGATAGGAAGAAAAGAAAGAAGGAAGAAACAGAAGCAAGACTAGAACAAAACAAACAAAAAATAAAAAGCAAGAAACTATATTCTCACTCATAGAAAAACAAAAATAATAAAATAATCAAAATAAAATAAAACAGTAAAGAAAGGAAGAAAAGTAGGAAAAAAATGTCCAGTTCAGGGCATGTGTCTGCCGTCACTGTTTGACAGAGGGAGCAGACAGAACCCAGATCTGTGTTGATTGATCCCAGCAAGGCAGCAGTAAAATTACGGCAGTGGTGGATAATCCCAGCAAACCTGGGCCTTTAGTTCCTGAAACTCAGTGTGCCTCTGTTGTCTGGCTGTAAGGCTAAGACCCTGGTTTTTCACCCCACAACACTCCAAGTGACTCCTGCGAGCTTGAATTCAGCTCCCTGACCTCCTGTCAGTTTGAGCTTGGCTGTGCCTCATTCTGACACTTGGAACTGCTAAGTGGTGCCAACCCTGAAGTTGTTATGAGTTATGATTTACTTTGGGCACTTTCCAAAATGGCTACTGGCCAATTGACCTCTGGTGAGGGCACCTGAACCCAAATAACTCACCAGCTACTACCGTCTGTTTACTGTTTACATTCGACTGGTGTATTTCTCTGTGGGGGCCTCTGGGGTCACTAGTAGCTCTGTAGGTTTGAATCACCCCTCCAACACCATGACCCAAGGCTCAAAGGAAAGTGCCATTTGCCACCTCCCTCCTCTATGTTGGGATCCATCTCTCCTTTTCCCTATGGGCTGTAGTTCTTGCTTCAGATTGTTGTTGGGTCCCACAGTTACATTTTTTTCCTCCTTTCTTTCCTCACATTCTTATATTCTAGCATCTGGATTTCAAATATTGGAGAGGCTGTTTCTCTGCTTCTCATCATTCTGTCATTTCTCTTGAAGGCTTCCTAAAAGTTTTTTTTAAAGCTGGGCATTGTAGAACACATGTGTAATCTCAGCACTTGGGTGGCTCAGAAAGGAGGATTGCTGTGAGTTTGAGGCCAGGCTGGGCCACATAGTGAGTTCAAGACCAGTCTGAAATATATAGCAAGGCCCTGTCTCACAAAACAAAACAAAACAAAAACCTTTTATTGAGATAACTCACATCCCCAATTTCTCCCCCTGTCCTGGGTCCTACTAACCCTCTCTCCTCCATCCCTGGCTCTAAGCAGTCACTTCTCTACTTTCTGTCTCTATATTTTTGCCTATTCTGGATATGATTTTTTAAAATCTCATCCATCTAACTATAAAAAAGTGTATGTTTTGACCAACATCTTCCCTTCCTCCTCTCTCTCCTGGACACTCAATCCTCTAGTAAACACCATTCTACACTCTCCAGTAGTGCTATGAGGTCAACATTTTTACTGCTGATCATGTGAATTATTTTAAAGAATTTCCAATGGTAATCCGTTCTTTCATTTGTGGGATAATCAAGTTGGTGATGATATCTTACAAATTATACATTCCCCTCCTCCTCTGGTTCCCCTATCACCTTTTTTCATACTTGTTGATATTGTTGTCTTAGCTCATACTGTATCATACAATGTTTACACTGATTGTTGTTATGAAGACCCTGTACATGGCACATCTTTTCTATCTCTTTTCATCCCTGAACTTCCTTTGTGGTATTGAGAACAATTATAATTTTGTATATTGCATATTTATTAGCATAGATTCATGACTGCTTTTTATACCTTAAAAACTTTCACACCACTGCACAAATTGCAAGCATGTACTAATAAAATAAAATAAATATTTTTAAAAGTAGGAACTTCTGTTCTCCATAGGTAATTCTATAATAAAAGATCAAGATACATTGCAAAAATAAAAGAAATACAGTTTACATGCAATTGAAGTTAAATGATTATTAGTTTCAAACAATAGATTGTTACATTTAAAGTTTTATATATAATTGCAATGGTCACTACAAAAATATTTATATAGTACACACAAAAGGAAATATTTTAGTTTATTTTATTAGTACATGCTTGCAATTCATGCAGTTTACAATCACCTTGGGGAGTGGTTACTTGTACATATTATAGCTTTTGTTTTTTAATTCCCTTCCCCTTCATTTACTCTTTCTCCTCTTCCTCTGGTTCTGCTATCACCTTTTTTCATACTTGTTGATATTGCTGTCTTAGCTCATACTGTATCATACAATGTTTACACTGATTGTCATTATGAAGACCCTGTACATGGCACATCTTTTCTATCTCTTTTCATTCCTGAACTTCCTTTGTGGTATTGGGAACAACTATAATTGTATATTGCCTATTTATTAACATAGATTCATGACTGCTTTTTATACCTTAAAAACTTTCACACCAGATTAAAAGTGATTTATTCAGTTGCAATATAATAGTATCGAATCCTGTGATATAATTACCTTTCAAGTAGAGTTTTTTTTTTTTTCTGGAATAAAATCTTGGGTTGTTACCAACTATAAGTTACTTTCCTAGCTTGAGATTTACTAAACTGCAGAAGTAGTATAAATTTAAACCCAAAAACATGTTCGGCAGCATTTTTCTCCTTTTCCTCAAGTTACAGGTGAAGTCAGTCACAAACTGCTCACTGGAGAAATAATACTTTCACCAGTTTTTCCTTCTCAAAGGCCCCAATATATTGATCTGCTTGTAGTACATCTCAGTAAGCCTGAGAGGTCAAAAAATTATTACTAAGCTTTTGCAGGCTCCTAGTAGTTGGGAGCTATCTGAAGGTAAAATTCAGCCTCAGAGATTTTGATAGAGCATTTAACATTTTTCAGTCTGAATGTGCTCAAATATTCATTAATCTTTCTGAAAAATTACAGAGTGTCTATTATTTGTCAGTTACTAGTCTAGGCATGAAAGAACTAGGGAAGAAGTAAAGAGACAAAACAATGGAACCAGCCAACCAACCCACGGGCCTCATATTCTAGAGGAAGATGGCCTTTTTTGTATCAGGTGCAATCAGAAATAGGTCATTTACTTCAAAACTAAAATGCCTGTTTTGCATTCTCTGTGAATGGAAACAATCAAACAGCACTCAACAGGCAATGGGACAATGTTTCTCTGTGTCCCAGGGGAGCATTCTGAGTCAGCTGGCCCTGCCACACAACACCCCTTGGCCTTTAATTAGAACACTGATGGGTCTTATAGAAATATCCAGAAAAATACCCCTCCTATATCAGGACAGGTATAAATCTTATTTCAGTTGATTGTGTAACTCAACCTACTCCAGTATGAGTTACTCTTCTTATTCACTATCTAGAACAGAAATTTCTAAACTAGTGGATAAGAATTATCTGGGAAACAATCTATTTGCTTTAAGTACTTAGAATCTGTGGGTAGGTAAAAACAAATGCGTGAAACATGTGGTGAGTAATTACATTTGAATCTAAAAGCACAACCTGAGTCATGAAAGAAAAATCTGTGATGTTAGCCTGGTGGAGAAGGATTCTCTGTGGAGCTGATATTTGTCATGACTTATAACATGATTATAAGCTTTGCATAAAAGACAGCTAACATCTAGGGGCTACAGAGAACACATAGACTTCCCTCAATGGCATCCAACTGAGGGAAAAACCTAGTGGCCACACTCTCTTGGAAGAAAATTTACTCTTGGTTTTGCCAAGATAACCCATTGAATTTTTGTCTTGATTTTGAAGATCGAGAAGACAGAAGAGATACATGAGCAAATCCAAATGTTTTTGACTGAAATAAGAAAACTCCCTGATGATTATGAATTGTACATAGCCAACAGACTGTTTGGAGAAAAAACATTTCTCTTTCTTCAAGTAAGTTTTGCTGTGTCCAGCACATCTGTGTTAGTTGTGAGTGGCCAAATGGTCTTGTCAGAACAGCAGTCCTGGGAGCTTTCGCCACACTTAGCTGCCTGGTTCTGCTTTCATCACTGGTGGTCTTTCTGGCCTGCTCACCAGGCATTGGACTTCTTTTCAATCTTGGTAACATGAACCTTACTTTTGCCTTAATCCCATTGCACCTGCATAAAATTATGTCTGAAGGTATTCAAAGTGATTTTTCCAGAGTCTAAAATTACTTCTTTTGATATTAGTTGTCCCAGTGAACACAAAATTTTATTTAGAGATGCAAGCAATTGCACAATTGACTATAAAATGTCTTTCTATTTCTTCCCTGTTTGTCTTAAAGAAATATTTAGATTATGTTGAGAAATATTACCACGCATCTCTGGAACCTGTTGATTTTGTAAATGCTGCTGACCAAAGTCGAAAGAAGATTAATGCTTGGGTTGAAAGCCAAACAAATGGTAGAGTATGGGTGGGGGGTCATTCGTCATACTGACACTTCCTGACTACTTTCTGTGAGTGAAATCTTAGGCTTCAACTGTATGGGTCCCTTTGGGAAAGGGCTTGAAATGGGTTTTGCAGGGATTAAAAAAGACAAAGCTTGGAATGAGGGGTATGAGAAGGCACTGCAGCTGGTAAAAGAGTCACCACAAATGTGGAGAGAGTCGGGGGAAAGAATGAGTGGGCCACACAAATCCAGTGATAGGGAGTTTCTTAGAGGGGAATTGTTTGTGCATGGATTACAATTACTTGGTGTTCCATAAACTGGGCTCATGTCTATCTTCAGTTTATTATTTCCTTTGTATCAAAGCCTTTTTTCCTGAGCCTGATTCCCTAAGTGAAAATGTCTAAATGGTTTTCCTTTCTTTGTTATGTGGGTTCTTCATGCAAGACCTGTCTCTACTGCCTACTGCTGGGACCACCTGGGCTTTGTCTCTGCACATTACGCAGGATTGACACAACTTTTACCTCCATCCATAGCAAAGAGTTCAATTAATTACTCACTCAGTTCTCTTCTCATTCCCAAGAATGAGCCAAATACATACGAAATGCTGGAGAGAAATGTTAATGTAGAAGTAGACCATGGGGAGCAATAACTGATATTTAACATTTTTATTCCAGTTGTCAGAGATATCTGTGTTAATAGAGACTGTATATTTCTTCATCCTTTATCTAGAGAAAGAAAATGAAAAGAATCAGAAAATAAGGGGTCTATCCAAAGGCTGACTGGCCAGTATTTTTCAGAATTTAGTGTGGGATGGGTTGAGCCAAGAACCCAAAATATCAAATAAAATAGTAAAATATTATTCTTTTCCCATAGAATAACTACTCTCTAAATCTCAGGTAGAAATTCTATTGCATTGGTAAGAATAATAGCTAGCACTGCATTCTTATGATATGCCAATTAGTGTTCTGAGGTTTCAAACCTATCACTTACTCCTTTCATCAACCTATAGAGGAGGTTTTATTCCTATTTTTCATATGTGGAAACCGAGGCACAGAGAATACAAATAGATTCAGGTGCTGACCTGGCTGAGTTGTTAATGATTTGTCAAGTCCTTCTGTATCTATATCTATCACACATAACATTTGTCATTTGGAAGATGGATCAATTTTTTTTTTTGTCTGTTTGCAGAAAAAATCAAGGATCTGTTTCCAGAAAACTCTCTGAGTAGCTCCACCAAGCTGGTGCTGATAAATGCAATTTATTTGAAAGGGAAGTGGGATAGGGAGTTTAAGAAAGAAAATACCAAGGAGGAGGAATTTTGGCTGGATAAGGTATGATTCTTTGGTGATGTGATGTACTTATTATACATTGTCTCAGTTACTTTTCTCATTGCTGGGACAAAATACTCAACACCCAAAGTTAAAGGAGGAAAATTTTATTTCACTCATAGTTTGTAGAGATTTCAGTCCATAATTGGCTGGCTTCAAGGTACAGTGAATGGCAGACAGGTATTGCAGAGGAGAAACAATGCACGGTAGGCAGAAGGTAGCAAAGCATGCAAGGGTCAACCACAGTTCTTTTTATCCCTTTTATTCCTATCCAGGCTACATAGGGTGGGTAGCAATCACACCCTCAGTCCTAGTGCCTTTGATCCTAGCGTTGTACTGTGAATCAATACAAGCATCACACATTCTAGATCCAATCACCTCTGAAAAAGCCCCAGTTATGACTGCATTAGACTTTGGGAGGGGGCTTCTAGACACATGCTATAACACACATGCAGTATAATATCTAAAATCATATTTGAGCAAATATACGCTGATAGATAGTAAACGTTCTTTTGATAATTCTAATCTTCAGCATTTTTTTTTTTTTTTACATTGAACTAGTTATTTCAGTGAGCTAACTTGGTTGACTTATGCTTTTCATCTTATGTCTTTGACCTTATACGCTCTGTTGATTTGTTGCAGAGTACAAGTAAATCTGTGCAGATGATGGCACAGAGTCATTCCTTTAGCTTTGTTTATCTGGAGGACTTGCAGGCCAAAATTGTGGGGATCCCATATAAAAACAATGAGCTCAGCATGTTCGTGCTTCTGCCCAACGACGTTGATGGTCTGGAGAAGGTAACCTCTTGCATCTCCTTATTCTTGCTTTCCTTTCTGGAGATTTTGTGTCTATCCCACCACTTGCATTGGGTGAGTCAGGAATCAGGACATCTGTAGGCAGTGTTGAGTGGAAAGTATCTCAGTGTGCAGCAGCTACAGATGGCTGCCTAAGAGGACCATTAAATTGCACCAGCCTTATTAAGGATAACGAGTATCCAAATATTTTGAGATGAGATAAAATGAATGTTTAAGAATATATGAGAGTTCTAAGAAATGTTGATATCTATGGATTCCTTTCCTGGAAAAAGTTGCACACGCACATATGGAGCAAATTTTGTTTATTTGACCTTTTGAGTTTTTCTTTGATCCTTAGTTTTGAACTTGGTGACTTAGAGCTACCTACGTTTTAGTTACAACATTAATGTGGCTACAGAGTGTGGATGCAAGATTAAGAAAAAGAAAATACCAGATTTAATCTGTGCCATGAAACTTGGCTGGTAGCCTTGTAAATTGGAAATATTTTGGGACAGCAAAATGATATTTATACTCTCAAAAATTTCAAAGTGGTTTCAAAAACTGATTCAAAAACCTCGTGTGAAAATTATCCTAAGGAAATAGTGCAGAAGATAAAAGCTGGCTTTCTGAGTCAAATCAGTAATTTCAGTAAATATGCTAGAATACCTAGTGTGAAATTCATAGTAGTTGATATTTCTAAATCTGCAATATTCAACAGCATCTATCATAATGCCTGACACATACTATATGTCTGTAAAGTGAATGAATAGGTGAATGTTGGCTAAAATTTGTGAACTGGATGGGAAGAGCATCTGTCAGCTCAAAGGTATTTAGGAGAGATGCACGATATTGTGACAAAGTTAAATTTTATAGCAGACATTCACTGTGATAGAACCTATATACGACTACAAAAACTAAAGAGGGATAAAAAAATAAAGAGGGATGGAAAACAATGAAATACTAAAGATTGTTATAGAAATGAGTTTTTAATCTTTAAAAATTCATTTCCTGAGATTGGTTTTTCATATATATCTAATTTAAATATAGAAGTAACACCTTCCTACTGTATAAAAGCAACAGTGTAAAATAAAATGTCACTTGTCACTACAATTAGCAATTTCTAAGTAATACAAATGAAATATTGCACTGTTTTAAATTTTTATTGATAATCATTACAATTTACTTTCTTTTTCTTAAAAAAATAGATTATAGATAAAATAACCCCTGAGAAGTTAATGGAGTGGACCAACCCTGGGCAAATGGAGACAAGGAATGTGAGTCTGCACTTGCCCCGGCTTGAAGTGCAGGACAGCTACGACCTGGAGGCTGTCCTGATGGCTCTGGGCTTGGGAAATGCTTTCAGCGAGCAAGACGCGCATTGCTCAGGAATGGACCCGCACTCCAAGCTGCAGGCCCAGCGGTTCCTACACCGGTGCTTCCTGGAGGTGACTGAGGATGGCACCGAGGCCGCTGAAGCCACCAGCATGACCTTTACTGTCTCATCAGACTCAGGCTATGAATATGTTCATTGTAATCATCCTTTCCTATTCTTCATCAGACACAATGAGTCCAAGAACATCCTCTTTTTTGGGAGATTTTCTTCTCCTTAAAACACCCAGGGAGGCAGGCACTGTGGCACATGCCTGTAATCCTACTACCCTGGGAGGCTGAGGTAGAAGGATCTCAAGTTGAAGTCCATCCTGGGAAGCATAGTGACTTAGCAAGACCCTGTCTCAAAATAATTTTTTTTCATAAATGGACTGGGAATGACGTGGGCTAAATACCCAATATGAGGTAGGGGGATGAGAGGTGGGGGAGATCATGGCCGTACATGGCTTTTCTTAAAAAACAGCAAGCTGAGTTAAACTATTAATAAAATTATGGAAACTGTCCATGCATTACAATTCTAATCTTGCCATTAAATCAAGGATTTAATGATTGTAATAATGTATGTTTATAACTTTCCTCGAAAGTAAAACATCTTTTTGTGCTATGCATAAGGTCAGTCAAACCAAAGATCATTCATATTCCTCTTGGTTTCCTTCTGAAAATAAATGAATATCTTGTAAAGTTTTTGCACCATTGAGGAGAAATGGTATCTTTGATAAAGAGTGTGTATTCCTGCAGTTAAAGAATTTTGACATTTTATAACACACAAATAAAATAGATCAATAGTTTACTCAATTGTGTTACTTTTCTTCTTTCACCAAACTGCACACAGGAAAGAGAATTTAGAGACACATTAGTGAAATGAAAATTAAAATTCACATGTGGGAATAAAGGAAAATAATATGCCAGGCAGAGAGGATCTCTGTATTTCATCTTCCGTTCTAACATAGTGCATTACCCATGGTCATTTGCACAAGCATATTGATATCTGAAATGTGTGGCAATTCAGAACATAAATACTGCAGTTGATCAAAATGCCTACCTTATCCCTTCCTTAGGCTTTAGAAAGTTGATACTTGTAATGACTTTTAGAAGCATAACTGTTTTCTTTCTGCCAATCCCCTTTTCAGTTTTTATTTTTTATTTTTATTTTTTTTTTGATTTTTCTCCGGTACCGGGAACCAAACTCACAACCTTGTGCATGCCAGGGAGGCGCTTTTGCCTCTGAGCTAAATCCCCAGCCCCTTCCTTTTCAGTTTTTATATTTTGGAGTGAGGTGTAGGTATTACCCAGTGGTATTTCCTTACAGATGCTTTGTAAAAAAAGCTCTGAAACTGTTTCTGATGCTCCTCATTGTGAACCCATATTACTTTTATGGCTTTTTAATAAGAACACATTACTCGTTTTTCTTTTTTTTATATTACTCATTTTTCAACAGTCTCATTGAGGTATAATTTACATACCATAAAAGTCGCACATTGTAAGTTACAATTCATTGATTTTTGGTAAATTTGTAATGTTGGGCATCTATCTCACAATTAATTTTTAAAATATTCCCGTCACTCTTAAAACTTTCCCCATTGCTGTTCCCACGTCCCATCCCAGGCAATAAGTGGTTTTTTTTTTTTTGTCTTTATAATTTTCTTTATGTTGTATAAATGGAATCCTACAATCTATAGTATTTTGTATCTATTTCTTCTTCTGTTTAGCATGATTTTGACGTTCATCTTTTTTGTACCATGTATTGATTCTTAATTCTTCTTTATTGCTGGATAGCATTTGATTTCATGGAAATTCCACTTCGTGGATTGTTCCCACTTTTTGGCTCCTATGAATAATGCTGTTATGAACATCTGTATAAAGGTCTGTGTAGACACAGATTTTCATTTACTTAGGTAGATCCCTATGAGTAGAATTGCAGATCCTATGATGAGTTTTTTAGCTTTTCAAGAAATTGCAAACTGTTTTCCATTTACATTGCCACCAGCAATGTATAAACGTTCTAAACTTTACATCCTTGCCATCATTAATGTGTTATAATTACAGTCATTCTAATGATTGGAAGTGGTATCTCAATGTGGTTTTAATCTACATTTCTTTTTTTGCGGTACCTGGAATTGAACTCAGGACTTTTTGCCTGCCAGGAAGGCGCTTGTGCCGCTGAGCTATATCCCGGCCCCACATTTCTTTAATGATTAATGAGGTTGAACATTTTTATTTGCTTATTGGTCAGTTGTATGATTTCTGTAGTAAATTATGTAATTATATCATTTGCTCATTTTAAAATTGGGTAGTTTTTCTTAATTTATTATTGCATTAAAAGGCTTATTTATATAATGTAGCTGTAAGTCCCTTATTAATATACTTCATAATCTATGGTTTATTTTTTATTCCTCCCCTTGAAAATATTTTTTAAAAGAATTTATATACTATAAATTTCCACATTAGTAGTATACAGTTCAGTGGTTTTAGTATATTCACAGTGTTGTTTAGACATAGCTACTCTCTAATTTTACAACGTTTCTAACACTCTCATGAGCCATAACTCCTTATTGCTCTTCTCTCTAAATCATGGAAATCATCATTCTACTGTCTGTCTTTCTGGATTTTCCTGTCATTGTCAGGTACTAATGACATCATTCATTTGCTTAGCATAACAATTTCAAGGTTCATCTAAATTGTAGCATGAAACGTTTTCATTCTTTATTATGGTAATATCTCATTGCATGGCTATGTCAAATTTTGTGTATTCTTTCACTGATTGCTAAACATTTGTGTTTGACAGTTTAGCTGTTCTGAATGATGCTGCTACCATAGGAAAATTTTGTATAAGTTGTTGCATGGACATATCTTTTCATTTCTTTTGGATCTATATTCAGGAATGGAATTTCTGGGTCATGTATTTTTATGTTTATCATTTTGAGGAATTGCTGCATTGCTCTCCATCCCACAACAAGGTATGAGTTTTTGTTTTTCACAATGTTGCCAGTAGCTGTAGTCTGTATTTTGTCTCAGTAACAAGAAAAAAGTAACCAATACACCTGTAATCCCATAACTCAAGAGGTAAAGGCAAGAGGCTCATGAGTTCAAGTCCAGCCTGGGCTACATAGCAAATTCAAGCCAGCCTGAACTACCTCCAGGTTTCTGTCAAAATAAAGATTTATGTACCCTATAAACATACATTTAAAAGTCTACAACTCAGTATTAGTAAGCTAAATCTAATAACACACATAATGGATTATTTACCAAGGACAAGTTGTATTTAACCCAGGACTACATGGATGATTTAATATGCAACATACTGTATTAATAGAAGAAAACACATATTATCTCAAAAAAGAATCAAAAACATATAACAAAATTTTGTAAAACTTTAATGAATCAGGAATAGAAAGGAAGTTCTTCAACCTGATAAAGGGTGTTTAAGATGAATTTCAGAAATTTTTAAGAAATCCACAAAGAAACTATTAGGACAAATAAATGAGTTTAGCAAAGTGGAAGTGTAAAATGTTTGCACAAAAAACAATCAGAGGTCTGTACACTATGAGTGAATAATCAAAGTGAAATTTAAAAAATAATCCCATTCATGATACCATCAAAAATAATCAAAAGGAAGTCAACAAAAAACACCTGTACAATATAACTACAAAATATTGTTGAGAAGAATGAAATTGCTAGGTAAACAAGCATAGTGTATATTCACGTGTCAGAAAACTCAAAACTGAAAAAATTATTTAATGTAATTCTTATCAAAATACCAGTTTCTTAAAGAAATTGACAAATATTCTAAATTTATATAAAAACGCAGAAAACCTATAGTGAGCAAAATAATTTTGAAAAGAACAAAATGATTATGTAAAAAATAATTATGATCATTCATTGTAGAATTACAATACTAGAGCAAATGTAGGAGCACGAGCAACGGAAACCAGACAGCCCAGAGATAAAACCTTTTATTTGTAACCAGTTGACTTTTTATTGAAATACCAAGGCAATCAAACACCAAAATGACCGTCAGGATAGCTAAAATTAGAAACACAGACTACAACTACTGGCAACATTGTGAAAAACAAAAACTCATACCTTGCTGTGGGATGGAGAGCAGTGCAGCAGTTCCTCAAAATGATAAACATAAAAATACAACATGACCCAGAACTTCCATTCCTGAATGTAGATCCAAAAGAAATGAAAAGATATGTCCATGCAACAACTCATACAAAACCATAACAACAGGTGTGCATCACTGCACCTGGCTAGGGATGTTGATGTTTAATTTTGTGTTCTTGTTATGATTTTGTGTGGTTTTAATATTAATAGCAGCTAGACAGAATGAGTTGGGAGTGCTCCCTCCTTTTTTTCAGGAGTCTATGGAGAATTTTTATTGTTACTGCTGTAAATATTGAGAGAATTCCTCAGTAAATTTATTTGGGTCTGGAGTTGTATTTGTGGGAATAGTTTCTAAAGTACTAACTCAGTTTCTTTACATGTAATGTGTTTATTCTGATTTTCTATTTCTTCTTCAATGGATTTTGATACTTTATAACACTTTCAGAATTTGTCATCTTTATCTAAATTGTTTAACTTGTTGACATAGAGTTGTTTGTATTTATAATTACAGTAGGTTCAGTAATGACGTTACTTCTTTCATTCTGGATTTGGACAGTTTCTGTCTTTTATATATTTCCCTGTGGAAATCTTTTCAAGGAATCAACAGGGCTTTCTTGATTTTTCCTATTGCTTTTCTATATTTTGTTCTATTGATTTTTTTTTTGTACCGGGAATTTGTTTTACTGATTATTTTTCTAACATTAGTTACTTACCCCACCTATATGCTTTGGGTTTAGTTTTTTTCTTCTTTTTATAGTTCTTAATTTTTAATTTTTATTAATATGTTTGCTGCACATAATGATCACATTTATTTTAGAGAGTTTGTACATGCTATGTCTTAATTTTTTTGTTGTTCCCTTTCTCTCCCCTCCATCTCTGCTCCAGCTACCTCTTCCTCCCCGTCCCATTAAGCTTACTCCTTTTGAAATTACAAGCTTGTCTTAGAGGAGTGCTTTAGCTCTATCCCATGAGTTTCTAGTATTTGGGATTTCCAAAACTTTGTTCTATTATTATGTCCTATTTAATTCCACTGTGGTTGGTGAGCATATTTTATATGACTTCAATTCTCATACTGAAACTTACTAAGAATTTTTTCATGACTTAGAATACAGTT